GAAACAAGTCTGCACGCATTGATACTATACAGTAAGCGCCTCAACAACTAACTTCATGCGTTCTGCAGATGCAAAAAACCAATGGCAAAAAGATAGTCCTATTTACAGCAAGCCTGCATTTTAAATACACAAATTCTAAATTTAGAGGAACCTGATTGATTGTTGGGATGGTAAAATGATTATCTTTATGAACACAGGAGAAAAAACCCTGACCTCAGGATTTCTGTGCTTCATCAGATGTTGATTGAACACCACCGATAGAACTTGGATGAGGTCCCGAGTTTGGAGGCTTGGACTCCCCGGCTTGGTGATCAGAAAAACTCCGTTCGTCTTGTTCATCTGTCTTGGATTTTGATTTAAAAGGCCTCTCAAACTCCTTGGCACTTCCAGGATCTATAAATAAATTATTCAGTTTCTGTTCCTGCGAAAAACGTAAATATAAATATTAAAGGGTGACTCTTAAATACAATTTAGTGGACAGGCATCATCACTTGAATAATTAATTTCATATTAATCTCGATCTAACCCAAGGCCCAGGTAACGGGAAATGAGAATAAATAATAATCATTTATCGTACAAACTGATGTTTTTTAAGATGGGAGGGAAGAGGAACAACTTGATGATGTAGTGCGCCAAATGAACAATAAAAAATTTAATGAAGATTAAAACGTCCACTACACATCACAAGCGTTTAGATGTAAACTTCCTACGAGTAATTACCTGAATTTGAGGCTCTTTTCTGCATAACCATTAAATCTCGCCCCAAAACCAAACTCCCCACCCCATTTCTCCCTCTAAATCAATAAATAAATAAATAAATAAGAGCTTTTCCATTTTCTCAAGGATCCCTACAACTCTTTTTCTAGCTTCCTTTCTTAATAAGTTTATTTATTATAAATACCATAATTAAATACCAAGAACTGCATGCGAATAATTCATCCAACAGATGCTGAGTTCTGTCCTTCTGTCGCTAGTATATCCCTAAATATGTATAATAAATACTCAGAACTAGAATGTATCAAAAGGACACCGTTAGCTGGCATCCGCAAAGGGAACATTTATAAAACTTAACCCAATGATATGTAATTCTTGAAGGTTATAATTCAAATCATCAAGGAATACAATCCGTTCTCACATATAGGCAAAACCAGAAAGTTCATCTTTCAGTGATATTTGTGATTGCAGAAGAATTAAATTCATTTCATTGAAGAAAGGAAATCACGAAGGGTGAGAAAAGCCTCAAATTTAGACGAGGAAGATGCATTTAAAAAGCACTCCAAGTTGGCACAAAAAGAGTTTGATCAATAATTGCAAAGGAGGTGCATATAACTTTCACCACCTAAGAGTGAGTAACAAAAGTGGGAGAATCCAAAAGCGGGAGAATCTCAGAAGAGGCAAGAGAATCTACCTTTATCCTAATAAAGCTCTTCTATTTTTATCTAACCAAGTGGTCCTAAAAAGACTCAAATAATTGAATCAATTGAATCTTCTCCTTCTTGAAGCCGATGGGGTGTCCACCGAATGTGAAAGGGATTAAACTTGGAAGAAATAGATGAAATGCTTTTAATATCTTTAGAAAGGCCATCGGGCGCCGATTAAAAGAGAGGATAAATTGGTAAAATTCAAAAAAGAGGCAGAAGATAGAAAAGGACTTGGCATTCGTCATTAGTTTTGTTATGCAAAACACCAACCAGGGGAGAGAGCCGTCTTAAGTTGTCTACTTGAATATTGCTTCATTTTAGTTCCCCATTAACACGCAGCAATTGATACATGTGAATTTAGTAACTAAAGGAATGAACATGAAGACACCACAGAAACCAGTACAAAGTATCAGAGATTCAGAGGTACTCACATTCTGGAGTGCTTCCAGCTTTCTCTGCAGAGCCTCATGCTCAGCTTGAATACGGAAAGGAACACCATGCTTTTGGTACACGTTGTTCTGGGCTAAGTCTTCGTCAATATCACTAGCTGTTGTTGCGAAAGGATGGTTTGCAGGAATCCACCTAACTGAATCCGGGTCAACATCAGGAGGAATTGAATCTCCTTCCTTAAGAAACATGGTTGGCCTCTTCCACTGATATGCCCGGGACCTCCGTTTCTGATGAATACTTTGTTCCTCCTTGGTAAGTGTAACTGGGGCCAACCGATAAACCTTTCCGCACATTTCAACAGACGAATTGCTTTTGTCAACCTTCACCAATGGGTTGTTAAAGGGATCGTTGTATTTTAAAGGCTTGGAACTGGAAGAAAAGATGATTATAGAGAAAACTATAAGAATATAATGGAAACAAGTAATACATAACATAACATGACATTTTAGCAAGTCGAAAGGACAAAGCATTCAAAGATTTAATTCATACATGCCTCTTCTGTCAGATCTTAGCTGACCACGCCTGACAAGATCAGCCACTGATCCAGAGTGACTGTTCCTGGACTTCCCCATGAAATACACTCTTGCAACTATTGCTAAACAAGCAGTTACAATGAAAAACCCAATTGCAAGCCGATTTCGAGTACATTTGTTCATCTGGAACATAATGTGATAGGAGAGTAAGATATAGCAAGGTAACTCCAAAACAAAATATATGATTTGCGCAAAGAGTACGTTCACAAAGGTTTCGAGTTTAAAGAAAAAGGCACAATACATTGTTGCAAATTACATTTAATTCTTTGCGTTCAAAACTTGCATATGCTTATATCCAGTCCACTGATATTCCATCCCAAACCATTTTCTCAAAACCATTCATGATGCAACGCAGGTTCCTATCACGTAGTACTCATGGACTCAAGGTCCATGATAATTTAGGAGACAGTTCTCCTTTCATTTGCGGTAAAGAGGTGTAAATTGTGTGTATAGCAGTTGAAGAGAATTGTTACAAACGCCTTTCTCGAGAGGACAAAAAAATAATAATAAAAAACTCCTAATCGATCAAAAACAAAATGTATTACCACGAAAACGCCCAGAGGCGAGGAACTAGTCATCTCCTTCATTTTCCCGATGAAATCTTTGGAAGCCACAGCAACAGTACCACTCTTGACAACAATTTCATCATCTTCGACATTTCGGCCGGAATCAGTGCTCCCGGAACCCCAACTCGCTCTAATCAGAGACTTGCGATCCATTCCATGCCGATTCCAATTCAAATGCTCATACCTAATGCCAGTGCATTTATAACCAATTCCGAGTTCGAATATACCGGACAGTGCAGGAGGTTTTCGAGCCCATACGGATGGCTGCACATACGATCTAAAAAGTTAATAAACATGGAAGAGAACATTTCCCGACGAAATTAAGAGAAACATGATTAAAACTAAGGAAGAAAGACAACCGGAAGGCGAGTACCTGGAAAGAATGAGAATGTAGCTGAAGAGTCCAATTGGAAGCCATTACATGTGCAGGAAGAAAACATAGTGAAAGAAAGCCAACGGGAAATTAGAATTTTGGAGACGGGAACGTGCAAAGAGGCGCCATAGCAAATGAACGAGCCGCGGGAGGATAGGGTTTCCAAGAATACCTATGCTTTTGGAACCAAATGGAATTCAAAGATATTGATAAATCTCGACTACAGTAACAAAAATGGATCTGTGGGTTCGATTCAATTTAATTTATTTAATTTTTTTCTCTATTTAATTTTTCTCTATTTAATAATGGTAAGTGCTGTTATTTCTGAAGTTGTACCTATGAAATGAGATTTATTTGTTGGCTAAGATTGTGCCACGTATGCAGATGAATTGGAAATTGAAACGAAGTGTAAGAAGCATTAAAGACATGATGATGCCCATGTGATGACTGCCACATAACTATTATATTATTATTATATGTGTGTGTGTGTTACTTACTAGGATAAGTGGTGTGGTATTATGATATACAAATTTATGTACACTAGAGGGACGAATTTTGTTTAAGGACGCTAAAGAAAAAGAAAGAAGGAGAAAGGGCCGCAATATTGGAAAGTGTGGCGTTGGGGAATTAAAAAAAAGTAAATAGGAATTAGGTTGGGGGTTTAACCGCAAACTGTTTGGATTACAAATGGAAATTCCTTTTTTGGGTAACCCACATTTCCAGTTCCCATTTTAAAAACAAGGGGCTACACATGCTTACCTACCTTTATTTATTTATTCCATCAACACTTTTTTCTTTTAAATTCCTTTTATTTTACTCCATTTTCCAAGCATCTATTTTACGATACATAAATGTTCAATAGTAAAAAGTAATTTATTTGCAATTATAAGTAGTTTAGATGATATGTTTACTTAATTTAATCAATAAGTTTTCTTGGAATTTAGCCGCATTTATTATAACGTTGATATCTCCCACAACACTGTGCGTGGTTCAAAGTGGGAGAGAAAAAGTGTGATAATGGGAAGGCAGAAAGAATGCATGTGAAATGGAAATCTCACAAAGTTGAATTCCCACTCCAATGTGGAAAGAGGAAGAGAGAAAAAAGTGGGATTTGTTTGATTTTGATTCCTTCAAACTTGCTATTATGAGTTCTTTTTCCTACAAAACATTCATTTTCTAAGCTTTTTTTTATAAAAAACAATTTTATTTCTAAAAACATATTTTCACTTTTTACATTAATTTTCATATCCCCCCATTCAATTCTATTCACTAAACCAGAATGGTTTTGTTTTCAGATCCCTCGTCTATTTACTTTTTACAAATCTGAAGACATAATGAAGTTTATGTTAAATAAAATTGATAGTTATGATGATGGTGAGAAAAGGACAGAGCAGCGGCAGCAGCAGCCATGGGCTGTTGCAAATTTTTAATCACAAAGGGAGCAGTTGCAGTTTGCAGGCAGAATGATTCCATTTTCAGAAGTTTTCGCATCCCACCACTTGGCTTGGGCGCAGGAAAGACAAAAATTGGCATTGTGAAGAGAGAGATGCAGGCAGAGGAAGCCATTTCGAGCTGAAAAATGCGAGCGATCCAAGATGCAAATAAACAATTCGCATTGACTGTTGTCCACATAAAACAATGTGCACCATCCACATGATACTACTAACACTGTTCCCCTTCCGATTTGAGCGCCTGCACTGTAAAATTATGCCGTCTCCGTTACGTTCCGAGGCTGAAGATCGACGACAGATTTGAGGTCAATATTCACGATAGAACGTACCAGAGCGGCAGATTTCAAATTCAGGGAAATCGCCTCCGCTTACAATTTGAATACATCCACAACTTCTTGTAATTACATGAATTTTGATTCAGAAAGATATTTACAGCACGGAGGAAGCAAGGAACAAGAATCGCAGTAGTTCAAAACCTAGGCCTAAGGTAAGAACCTATTCCTCTTATCTTCTCCATCTTTTACTCTGGATTCAGTCCCACCGTTCGAACTCGAGCTCGCAGGAAAACCGCCGCACTTCTGGCACTGACTTACCACCAGAATCTGACGGCATGAAGGACAGGAGGAGTGAGATCGGAACCACGTATCGATGCAGGACACGTGAAATCCATGGCCACACTGCGGCAGAACGCGGATTTCATCACCGACAACGAACTCCGCGAGGCAGATCGCGCAATCTGAGAACTGAGCAGCAAACTCGGCGGTGAAGGTGTACTTGGGAAGAGACCTCAGGATCTTCTTCTTGAGACCTTTGTTGGAGGCAGGAGGCGGAGGAGGACGAGTGGAAGCAGCGCCGCCTCCATCGCCAGCGAGGTGGCGTAGCCAGGCGCATCGGGCGACAGCAACGAGACCAAGAACGCATATCAAGGCGCAGAGAAGAGCGGCGAGGATTATGACGAAGTCGGAGTCATACCTCTCGGGCTCCACCGTGTCGGAGATGGAGGAGGAGTTGGCATCGGCGAGGTACCTAAAAGGACGCATTTGGAGCGGCGAGATAAGGGAAGAGGGTATAAGATAAGAGATGGGAAGAGCAGTCGTTTTAAATCAACTGTGAGCGTAACGTCTGTCGTTTCGAGGGGATTTGGGGGGGGGGGGGGGGGGGGGGGGGGGGGGGGGGGGGGGGGGGGGGGGGGGGGGGGGGGGGGGGGGGGGGGGGGGGGGGGGGGGGGGGGGGGGGGGGGTTTATACTGGACACGGGAATCGGCTTTCGTTTAACCTGCACTTCTAACAGCGTTTGTATATTTACCTTATTTATTTAAATTCATTTTTGTATGGGTGAAGAATGTGTAATAATATTTTAAAATTTTAAAAATTATTTATACGACATTATATTATATCTTTACTTATAGAATATTAATGCCCTCCAAACATGAGGATTCCTTCAATGAGTTACATGTGAAATTATAAGCATCCATGTTGCTTTGAATCATGAGGAAGGACTGAACTCATATTCATTCAACAACAACACACACTCTCCCACTCCCACCTGAATGTCTTGTTGAGGTTCTCCTTCAAAATTAACGTTTTAGGGCAGAAGTATGAGAAAGCAGAACTCTTTAGTTTGGGTTCAGATCAGAAGAGGAGTAAGATATTAAATCAAAATTAGAAGACGTATGAGTTACTTCCTCAACGGCAGTGATTAGTTTCAAATAAATTTTTTTGAAAGTGGAAGGAAGCATGAAAACATCCAAAACGCCACAAAATACTCATTTTAACTCGCAGCATGACAAATACCTGAAAACCGACCAAAAATTCAGTTTCGTATCAATAAAGTAAATAATAGAACAAAAACCCAACCCTCCAACAACTAAACCCTTTCCAATTCCAACTCCTAAACCAAACCACTATCATTAGTAGTGAGCTAGAAACCCGCAAACACCATCAATCAATTGAGCAGCAGCTCGTGATCTGATCCGATCCGATCAGATCAAATACGGAGCAAATCCTTTTTTCTTTTAGGTAGTTGGATTTAGGTGCTACAAAAAGTATGAACACCGCATCTCCCGCTCATTTCGTCCGCATTACAACACAACACACTCCACTTCGCTCAATCTTTTTAAACCGGGTTCAACTTGGACTTGAATCCGAGGTTTGGGAAAACCAACAGAGTGTTCGTGTTGCGTGGACAAACTGTCTGTTGATTTGAGTCAGTATTCCCATTTTCTTAAATGACCAAAAGGAAAATGTCAAGAAGAGGAGGAGGAGGTTTCACAGAAAGGGGGTGGGAGCCCTGAGGCATCCCAGCAATGACAAGGCACTTTCGATCCATCAAGAAAGGAAAATCCCTCCACAAAATGTCACTTCAGACAATCATCCAATCCAATCCAATCCAATCCAATCCAATCCCCCTTGCCAGCAACACCAATTCATTGCGTCTCTCTCTCTGAATATGATATCCACAACACTTGAAACTTCCGCTTTTTCCTTTTGCTGATAAAACAATAACACCAATATACAAATAAGGCTGTCACGTTTTCCCTATCAGAGCCGCCCTCTACCTCTTATCAATTAATATCCAACCGGATTCAAAAGTTAAAGCAAGAGAGAGGGGGGGCAGAGAAAAGGCGACACGGCCAAAGACCGAAGTAGAAATTTGGTGCGGCGTTTGGCACCAAGAAGAGTGGATCTTTTTGTTATATTTTAAAGGACCGTCACAATGAGTCAGTCGGGGTAAGATACGATACAAAATAACTGGTCTTAACATTTTCGTTCTATTGACACTAATCGCTCAAGGTTCCATTGAAAAACTCCCCCTACCCAAGAATAGGATGTGCTTCTCCTCGTCCTTCCAAAGGACTAAGTCAGCTAATGCTCAACTTCTTGTCCTGTGGGGGATCAAAATCAGCTTCTCGAATCAGGTCAGGCCCCACCTTTTTCAGGCTGCACCACTTCTAAAAGCTCGATGTTCAATTCAAAAGTAGCTCCAGGCTGCCAATACAAAGCAGGATTACATGTACATCTGATAACCATACAACTCAAAAGTTGTCATCTTATCTCTATCTCAACCCTTCACGCACTAATTGGCATAAATAACATAAGTAAACCAAAGGGCACTTGACTTCACCATTTCTTGGATTCCTCCACTAATTACACTAAAATACCAAAAAGGGGCCAAATTATGGCTTTTGTCCATAAACTAGATATGATTTTTTTAATTCCGCCAATACTTTTTAAACTTATGAAATATACCCTTTACAACTTTTTTATGGTTTCGTAATTTCTATTCACTTTAAAAGTACATTTGAAGTTTCAATTTTTCTCTTAAACAATTTTTTATATTCTGTCCTTGAAGTATATAGATCTTTTGGTTTGGTATTTGTAAACTAAAGACCATAGGCAAAAAAAAGTAAACCAAATATATATGCGCATGTTTCATGATAAAAGAAAAACCATTTTCAATGCAATGTTCCGAGATCAAATTCAATGATATGACAACAAAACCAAACAAGGAGTTAGACCAGGGTTTAATCCCATGTTTTCATGGGTTCACATGCAAATGTGATCATACAATTTTAAAAATAGTTGATCTGTCAAAAAGCCACGCATAAAAAATGAAAAAAGGTAGATGATTGACTTACTTTATTTAGTGGATAATTCGACACTAACATTTACTAACTTAAAAATTTTTAAAAATGCAATTTTAAAGTTTTAAAAATAGTTAGTCTGTAAAAAAAAGTTGTGGATAATTGATCTGTCAAAAAAGTCACAAAAAAGTAAATGATTGACGTACTTTAAGTAGTGGATAATTATTGACATTTACAACTTAAATTCAGGGCCTAACCTTTTTAGACCCTGAGTTTTCATGCCTTCACATGTAAATGTTACTAAATTTCAAAAATAGCTGGGTCAAAAAGTCAAACATAATAAAAAGCAAATGATGGACTTACTTTATGTAAATGAAAAAATATCATGGAGATTTCGACAATATCTACAATTGAAATTTAGGGACTTACTGGGATTTCATTCATTCCCTTTTGACCATATCCAGCCTCAGGGGGAACAATCACCGTTCGCTGCACAAAGAAAGAAAATGGAGTCAAAGAAATCCTCGCAAAAATAAAAGGTAAGACTTGAGAGAATATAATGGAGAAGAAGAAGATTACATACAAATCAAGCATGTGCTTGTGCAAGTTTGGAATAGAAGAATGCACTTACCTTTCCCCCAACTTTCATCCCTTCAGTTATGGAGTACATTGCTGGTGGGGGTTTAGGTGCAGCCTGTGCTGAAAACAGACCATTTGGATTGTCCACAAAATCACGTTTCCTCTCCTTCCCGGGAGGGGCTCCTACTTTGAACTCATAAGGCTGATCAAACCATGGGTCAACATACATTAGAAATTGAATTCTCTAACTAATAAAGATGAATTGTAGATTACATCCAGACGCTTAGTTACTTGAATTGACCTAAAAGCTGAAGTTGTTGACTAAAGAAAATTTAATCCTATGATGTAGTTTCAATATTAAACATCACATTTGTACACACTAATTTTTTCGATAACAACTGATGAACGAAATCAAGTTCACATAAGCAAAATGTTCAAGAACCTGGGCGATTATACGATTTCCAGCCAAGAGTTTAGATTCTCGACTTGATACAGCTGTAATCCCTCTATAGAGGCAATCAAAGTGAACCTGTAATAGAGAGCTAATACAGAGAAAAGTTAAAATTCAAAGACAGGCAAAACAGCTCTGAAAATGTCCCAAACAGATTACCTGTACTGTGGAACCCTTCTCAGCCACAGGACCCTTTCCCTCCTCGATATCATAGTACTTCAGTCCATTGGCTGCAATCAAAATGTCATCGCCAATGTGAATCAAAGAAAATGCTGCATAGAAATGTTCCTCATAATCCAGATCCTCCAACGACTAAAGTGAGATTTCGACGGGTTTTTTTAATTTTTTTTTAAAAATTGTTATCGATAAACATAACAGATCCCTCTAAGGTCCTGGAAACAGAATTGTAAACTCCACGAGAAGCTGAACACGTAACGAACAAAACTCCCACTTTATTTCCGTTGATTATAAAATGTAGATATATAATTTGAAGAATAGGTCGTAATTACTAATCAAGATTTCAGGATTTTCAACCAATTTGAAGTATTAAAAGGAAATTCAGAAGATAACGATACATGAAGGATTGAGACTACTAACGGCTGGTGAGATAGTCCTCGAGAGGAATAGTCTTCCTGCTCCTTCTCTCTCTTGCCTCGGACGACGGAGATACGGAAACAAGAGCGAGAGGTAGCGAGGAGATCAAAATTACAGACCTTCTTGAAATTGGAAGAGAAAACCATTCTTGGCTAGCATTTTCTCTTCTGTTGGCCGTGGATTGTGAACGAATTTGAGGAAGAAGGCGATGAATGGGACAAGAATCCAAGCTCTTAGTTATGGCCACTGCCATGGCGGTTGAACTACGCAGAGCAAGTGTTCGTAAAGCGCCCACATTATATCCCTATCCACAAACGCTTGGCGGAATTTGATAAATAATATCTTTCACTTTAAATTTTTATTTTTAAAACTTTAAATAAAGCCCGGGAGAAAGTTCCTAATTTGACGTTGGGCCAAAAGCCCAGAAAAAAGCGGGGCGTCGATAGGATTGACATCAGATCACAGGGCAGGAAAAAAGAGCTCAAGGGATTATCGTGATCGCAAAGCAGGGAATAATTTCCTCAAGGCCATCGATATTATCGAACAAGAAAAATATTTTCCTAGTAATAATCTGTTTCCCGTTTCCCGTTTCCACGTTCACCTCCAAACCAAAACCGCACTCTCTCGCTATCTTCTGTTCATCTTTGGGACTCAACACAACGATGTCTGCTATATCCAATTCGTTGGTTTTAACGAAAACCCCTCAACTCCAGTTATCAGCTGGTAATTCTCACTCTCTGATTTCTTCAGCATTTGATCTTGTGTTAGATTTTCGTTGTAAGTACACAAGCTCCCCATTTGTTATTTCTTATCCTGTATTTTTTTTCTTTCTTGTATCGATTCAATTTTAGCTGTTGCTCGTGAGTTTCTTTTCCAATTTACACATCTTAGTAACACTTCTCTCTCCGGTTTAATTTTGGGGATGATCTTGTAGTGCGGGAGATTTAGGACTTGTGTTCTCGATTTTTCCATCGCGAAATGCCCTCATTTCCATCGGTAGATACCGGGTTTTCTTCTAATTTTTATATTAAGTTACAGCGAGATTCAAATGTTAGCTACCTGCTACTTTTGACCATCCTCTTAGCTCATAAATCGGTTTTGTGTTCTTACGTAGAAACGGCCTTTTCTAGGAGAAATTTGCGAGGGGAATGTGTATTTTCCTCCATTTTGGTGCAGTTTATGGTGGGCTGTTTATTCTTTCTTGATGATGTCTAAAGGCGCTATTAATCTTATCGTTTTTATTACATCGTGATGATGTCTTGATTTCCAAATTAATGAAAATTTTTGTAACTGTTGGAAGATTGAATTATGATTAGTAGGTAGTTGCTCTCATTTTCATAATTTGGAAGAACTAAGGAGAGTGCACATGTATGTACCCATTAATTGTATTAGTCTAAGTTTACTCTCGCCAATTTTCCTGCCAGGATCAAATCTGAAAACTGCTGATAAACGATTTGGGAGTGTTTCCCCTACCCGCTTGTTACTCAATCCTGGTTGGGTGGGAAAGGCCAAGCTTTCTACATTTAGGCGGCCACTTTCAGTTCAAGCTGCATATAGGTATAATCTTTGAAATCACTAATAAAACGATATGCCATTTAGTCATCTCATATTATAGCATTACAGTCTAGGGAGTCTATTTTTTGAAGAAATTATTATCGATCACTACATTGAGAAACTATTTACGTGGTAGGAATGCATGTTTAGAGTCTTTGTGTGGGTAGGCTTATCATTGTGGTGCACAATAACTGGAAAAGGAACTGCCGTGCTGAGCTGAATTGAATGTGTTAATCTCAGGTAGTTAACAACCATGAACATAACTAATTTTTAGCTGGTTCAAACAGATTTGCAACCAAAGGATGGGCCTGTTTGGTTTGCTATGCTCAAAACTGAGTCTCGTTGATTTGGTCAAAGACTGATCAAATCAACATAATGAAGGCATATAGATTTTCTACCCAAAAGAAGGGAAAAAAATAATAATGAATGTGTGTACTCATCCCATTTTAGATAACCAATTCAAATGAAACAGTTGTTGAATTTTATCTGTTTACTCTGTATGATTACGGTCTGGATTTGTGCCTTCCTATGAGATTTGGCCTTTTGCTCCTAAAATATTTTGGGGGATCAGTGTTTAGAGGCAAGGCCAACATTTTGTGGAATTGTAGTCCATTCTCTCCTTTGGTTAATTTGGAAGGAGAGAACAAATAGGATTTTTAAAGTCAAGGAGGCTACGGTGGATTCTTTTTGTAATCGTGTACAACACTTAGCATTGTGGTGGTGTTCCAAACGAGCTTTTTTTTTTTTTTTGTAATTTTAGTCTTTTGATGATTACTAATGACTGGAAGGCTCCAATGGTCTATTTTCGTGAGGGGGATTTTTCTTCCCGCACTCAGGTTGTTTCTCTCCCTATTTGTCTATAAAGCATCATTCATCGTCCCCAAGCCTAGATTGTTTCTCTATCTCTTTGTCTATAAAGCCTCATTTCTTATACCAAAAAATTACTAATTAATAAATAAACAATAACTCTTAGGGTTGAATAATGTCTAGTCTGTAACAATTGTTAGTAAAGCTTTTCCGAGTGGAAACTAATAATAGTATTCCTATATGTTTCAAATGGACATAGCACAAGTTGATGTCTATTTTATTGTATATGTCTTGATGGGTCCGTCCTATATGCTTCATTTGAAATACTCTGACGGCAGTTTATTATGCACCTTGTGGCAGTGATGGTGGACGGTCAAGCAGTGCAGGCATTTTTATTGGAGGTTTTGTATTGGGAGGGCTCATAGTTGGAACGCTTGGCTGTGTATATGCCCCTCAGGTTTTTAACTTTTTTCATCTCTTATCTAACCTCTAAATTGTACATATGGGAAATTTCACCTAGTATACCTGTTACTTGTGTGCTATGGTTACTATCTTAGGGAAGGTATGTAGAAATATGCACAACTATTGTCTCTGAGCTTCAAGTGCAGAATCCTAGTCTTTTTTATGACTGAGAGTTGATCTTGTGTTTGAATTATAGATTAGCAAGGCACTTGCTGGAACAGACCGAAAAGATTTGATGAGGAAACTTCCCAAGTTCATATATGATGAAGAAAAAGCCGTAGAGGTGCAAAACCACTCATCTCTTTTTATTTGTTGCGAGTGATCTTGTGAATGAACATTTCGTCTTCACTTGACATTGATTTACCCAATCGTGGATTTTATTCGTAACATTGCACTTTCTTCTTAAACACCATGAGTTGGCAGAATGATAATTGGAGCTTGGGAAAGAAAAGGGTTAAGAGGGAATGAGTTCAAAGCATGTGGGCACCTACGTATGATTTTAAAATTCTGTTGGTTTTCTTGGCAACCACTTGTACTAGGATCAAGTAGTTGTCCCATGAGATAAGGTGGCTCGAACATTTGCAGATATAAAATAATAATAATAATAGTAATAAATATATATTCTTTCCAACCAGTCATCAACTTCTCATCAAAGATGCTAAAATGTGTTTGTGTAACTTCAGTTTTGACAATTCTGCGAGGGGGTATTTGAATTTTGCATAAAATTTGTGTAGTATAAGGTCAAAGGAGTACATAAACTGGAATACGAGTTTATATGTATGGATTTACTTATCCTGGGATACGAGTTTTCTAATTTATGGAGCACATAAACTCATATCACATGAATCTAAAACAGTTCTTCTATAGTACATACTAATTTTAACAAATTATAAACCCACCAAAAAAAAAAAAAAAAAAAAAATACAGATTACTGATTCAATTGCACAATTCAAATAAGCTTATCGACTAAATATCCCACTTTCATTTGGTTTATGAGATATGGTTTGTCGGTATTAGTATAAAATATGACTATAATATGTTGTATGTATGTAGTCTAGAAGATTTGCAAGCTTGTGGATCAGGATAAGCAAATCTACACCCATCTAGATTATACAAAACTAATCTATGAACTAAACACAGGGCCCTTTCCAGTAGGATTTGTCTAAAATTTTAAGATAACAATATTTTGTTTTTGATTCTGGATTTTTTTTCCCTTTTAAATCTGAACTTCCTTTATAGAAGAAATATAATATTACGTGCTTTTCTTAAACAGTTCCTGTTCGGTTTTTGATGTGTGAACATGTACTTGCTTTTTATTGAAATTGCAGAAAACAAGAAAAGTGCTGGCACAGAAGATTGAACAGTTGAACTCTGCCATTGATGAGGTTTCTTCTCAGCTCCGTACGGAGGATTCCCCAAATGGAGTGGCCGTAAACTCTGATGAAGTTGAACCTGCCATTTGAAAGTATCGTTACCTTGGTTTTCACCGCCCACCGGGACTAAGAATATTAGTTAATTTTCTAGCTATTATCTTTGATTTTCTGTCTTGAAACGTTTGGAACTGAACTTTGATGTGCATTACACATCAATACGTAATGTGATGCTATGATCACTCAGATGCTCCTTCTAAAGTTGAATAGTTTGTAGAAGAGCATTCTTGCTGTTTCCTACTCTGTAAACGAACAGCCATTGTTTTGTATTTGAAAATCACATATTTCATTCCTTCCTCTTATTTGCATTTTTGAACTTGTCTGGCAGTCTTGAGCCAAATGATCCATTGTTGCTGGGGCGTCCATTTTGTCTTCCAGCTAAAAACTAAATCTTAACAGGGAAAAGCGAGGTAGCAAAACTTAATATTTAAGGTTCATATCTGGTTTTTGGCGAGATTCTGGAGATTACAGGGGAAGAAATAGTGGAACCTTGGAGGAGAAAAAAACAAAAGAATGAATCGTTATTGTTTAAGCGAAAGTCTGGTTGGATCGAGTGAAGGCACTGGCCAATGTCTTCTCTGTATTTGCTGTCCCAAGCCAAGGGCGAAAATGACGTGGATGGATAGGCTATGACTCATTAACTTTGAACAATGAGAGGCAGACATTAGAGAGGGAAACGTCGGTAACTTGTCAGACTGAACAGGTGCCAGCTTGGACTAATACCAACAATTCTCTTGTAACGACGTATAGCTTGAGGGCATTATTGGAAAGTTACATAGGTGAAAGATCTGTGGTTCAGAGGCTTCCTGAAATTGATAGGCGAAAAAGACTGCCTTATCTTATGTATCTGCCCCTCGCAGCTTTCTCACCACAAAACACTCTCTAGATCACTTGATTGCAAGTTGCCACAGTCCTTCCATCTATGATTAAAAAAGGGCAGCTTCTGTATAACCCAAATGCCAATTTCAGAGTTCTACAATTGATATACATTTGTGAACCGGAGTTACGTAGCCCCTGAGTTAGCAGCCATGGCCACTCACGCAGCTCTGGCTTCAACAAGGATCCCCACCAATACAAGGTTTCCTTCCAAGACTTCCTATTCTTTCCGACCTCGATGCTCATCCAAGGTTTGTCTCTTCATATCTCAAACTACTTAATGGTAGCTGATACTTCATTAAATTGTCCTCATAGTTTAGTTTTGAATTTGCAATTTGCAGAGGCTGGATGTTGCTGAGTTCAATGGGCTTAGATCTGCTTGCCTGACCTTCTCTAACAATGGCAGAGAAGGATCCCTCTTCGACGTCGTGGCTGCTCAACTGACTCCCAAGGTTCTTCCTTTTCCCTTCGTTTTGTGGTTTGAAATTCTAGATGATTTCATGGGATGAAAAGAGATCGCAGTAGTTTGAGAAATTTGATATAGTTTGAAGAAATCTACATGTTTGACTAATCTTAGTAATTATGAGTTAACTCATCTTGATCGTGGTTCTTACTAACAGAATAGAAACATTTTCTTCATACAGGCAGTAGGATCATTTCCGGTTAGGGGAGAAACAGTGGCTAAACTCAAGGTGGCAATCAATGGATTTGGACGTATTGGCCGAAACTTCCTGCGGTGCTGGCATGGCAGGAAAGACTCGCCTCTCGAGGTTGTAGTTGTCAACGACAGTGGTGGTGTTAAGAATGTAAGCAATATATATCTTCTCAATACATTGATCAAGTGCCATTTTATCTACTTGAACATAGTTAGCAAAAGTCTCGCCACTTAAGATGAATTATACCAAAAATTTCAGGCCTCCCACTTGCTAAAATATGATTCCATGCTGGGAACTTTCAAGGCAGAGGTGAAAATCGTAGACAATGAAACCATATCTGTTGATGGGAAGCCAATCAAGGTTGTCTCAAGCAGGGACCCCCTCAAGCTTCCTTGGGGCGAGTTAGGCATTGACATCGTTATTGAGGTAGATTTAAGTCCATCCCAATCAATTATCAGATTATCCGCCCCGATCAATACCAATATCCATGGCCTTTGCAGGGTACAGGAGTGTTCGTGGATGGCCCAGGGGCAGGGAAACACATCCAAGCAGGTGCAAAGAAGGTTCTCATCACTGCTCCTGCAAAAGGTGCTGATATTCCAACATATGTTGTTGGTGTAAACGAAAAAGATTACTACCATGATGTTGCTAACATCATTAGGTCAGTAACGGTTTCGTTCTTGGAGCTGAATTTGTTTTTGACCTTTGAGCTGCTAAGTAATTGTTTTTGGTTGGTTAGTAAGCTTCTGATTGTTGAAGTTTTTAGCTTTTGCTCTTAAACTTTTATGCAGCAATGCTTCTTGCACCACCAATTGCCTTGCTCCTTTTGTGAAGATCATTGATGAGGAATTTGGTAGGCAATCAGTTTCATTTTGGGCAACGAGCATTGTTTCCCGATTTTAACCACTTGGTGTTTGATTGAATTCAGGCATTGTGAAGGGAACGATGACAACCACTCACTCCTACACTGGAGACCAGGTAAAGAAAATATATGAACAATTAATTACATCATGAATGTGTGTAGAATCCTATGGCATTGATGATTTTTGAGATAGAGGAAATCTTATAACCTCGAGTCACATTTTGGGGGTTATGCAGAGACTTTTGGATGCATCACACCGTGACTTGAGACGAGCCAGGGCCGCAGCCTTGAACATTGTCCCCACAAGCACTGGTGCAGCAAAGGCCGTATCCCTTGTGCTGCCCCAGCTTAAGGGCAAGCTCAATGGTATTGCACTTCGTGTGCCTACTCCAAATGTTTCAGTTGTTGACCTCGTCGTGAACGTTGCGAAGAAAGGAATCTCCGCAGATGATGTCAATGCTGCCTTCAGAAAGGCAGCTGATGGACCATTGAAGGGCGTGCTAGCTGTGTGCGATATTCCTCTTGTTTCTGTGGACTTTAAGTGCACTGATGTTTCCTCCACAATTGACTCTTCATTAACAATGGTAATGGGAGATGATATGCTCAAGGTCGTGGCCTGGTACGACAATGAATGGGGATACAGGTGAGGACTTTCATTCATGGGAATGGATGATTGATTCCCTTCAAAATTATAAACCAACGTATATGATGTTTCATTAACTTTTTGTTGTCTGCAGCCAAAGAGTTGTGGACTTGGCTCATTTGGTGGCAAGCAAATGGCCGGGAGTGGGATCGGGAAAAAGTGGAGATCCGTTGGAGGACTTCTGCCAGACTAACCCAGCTGATGAAGAGTGCAAAGTTTATGAAGCTTAGGCATCATCATGTCTTTTGTTGGTTGCTTTGAGTCTAGGTCGTTTTTTAGCATTGCTGTACAATGCTTGTTTAGAATTCAAATTCAAGGAAGAGACTTTTTTATCTATCCATTTGTAAAATTTGAAGACAGTGTTCTAAAGTTGCAATAACCTTTGAAAAGGGACAAAAATGAAGGAAAAACATGAACCACCCCCTTTACTACACCTTTTTTCCTCATATATTCCTTTGCAAATTAGTCCATTTTGTTCTTTTAGATGCTTTCCTCTGATTTCTTGTTCTAAAATTAAGTGTACAAACCGGATTTAGACAGACTGAAATTAGTAAACCTGGCTGGTTGCTTCAGTTTCTGTCTACAAACTTCTCAAGGATTTACCACCAAATTACCATCATTCTTATCATTTTCGGATGATTTCTCAACCTTCCTTCGTTTGCTTTGCCTTGGTTCTTTCTTCTCATCAAACAACGACATGATTCGTCGAAGACGGTTCGGATGCGATCCACTACTGCTAGACAGATCAGATTCTTTTGAATCAGAATGGTATAGCTGACGAATAATCTGAAGGCAGTATATGGCAAGGGCAATGAAGCACACTGTCCCACAGATAAGAAAGAGACCCCAGAAGCTCTTAAGTTGAAGCGAGTCTGATTTGAGATCTGTACTGTCTGAGATGCAAGCACTTTTCACAACCCATTTGTCATGTATCCGTTGCAGATCGCCGTTCTCGGATAGCTGCAAAATGGCAGTTGACATGTCTATAGCCAATGGAGAGTCTCGTGGGAATGCCTGAATTACCAAAAGGAGCAACAGGAGAATAGTTATTGATGTGTTCAATACTAAATAAGAAGGAAAACTCAGAGAAAAATCAACACTCACGAAACCCCAGCCGCTTTTGGTAAACTCATGACCAACAACTCTGAATTTACACTCTCTAGAGATGAAATTTTCTACATATAGAAGTTCATCAACTACAGCAGCAACGCCTCCCTCCTTGCCAGGGCCAAGATCAAGTGCCTTGGCATATTCTTCCGGAGATCCAAGAGGAATAAGCCTAGATCTAGACACGTTCAGCTCCTCACTCAGATAACGTTCAGCAAAAGATCCAACTTGGAAACCAATCGGTTCATCAATTTCCCTCAAGGTTTCTATTCCTGTGATTGGAGAATATAGCTGCTGCACCGTGAGAATGGATGTTAAGCTTGCAGTGTAGCTAGAATTTATAATCAAAACCACAAACAGCCATATGATCAGCACAAGGCGGCCGAGAGTGCTAACTGTGTTCTCCTCTGCAAAATTAGTAGAGAATGAGTTACATTAGAGATGATAAGATTAAAGTGACAATAATCAAGACTGAAATCATGATTCTATTTCCACTTACTATGGGCAAAAAATAGAGTTGAGAAGCTAAACCTGCATAGTTCACAAGAAATAAATGGATCAGCAAACAATTTAATGAGACATCAGCGGGAAAGAGGAGAAAAAGAGTATGGATTTGAGTAATCGGCCTGTCCTAGTTGTCTAGTTCGAGATAAGAGTAGGGACACACACAAACTCTTGGGATGCACAAGATCAAAGACAAATTACATATATGATGAGCAGTACAAAATGCCACTTTAAGCTCCAAAACTCAGACATTTTTTCCATGCCAATCTCAGATACATGGGATTCCTAGAAGTAACCCTTTGCCTACTTTATGAAATTGTGTACAGCAGTCTCCTGTCACTTGGTTTTCATCTTACCAGTAAAACAATGACTGTAACCTATCAAAATGGCGAGATATAAGCAGCATTTTGTACCTCTCTCGCTGCTTTTCTTTTTCAGTGTGCAAGTGACAAACTCAAATATGTTAATAGGATGAACTATGGAAGAAGATCTCAGACAAGGACCTAACCATAAAATTGTAATGCATTGTCTTCTCGGTGGGCCTCGGAATTCATCGTTCGTCCTATGCTCCAGAATCCAGACGACTATTCCGATAAAAAGGAAGAAAGCAGCAGTAACCATCCACATGGCTGGAGAAAATGGATGCAAGAAAGCCCAAGCACCAGTGTTCAGTTTTTTGAGTGGGGCCACAACAACTAGTCCAGAAGCAGTATATGGCAGGGTAAAATCCACAAGCCTTGTACGGCTTGTGACAATGGCTACGTCTCCAACAACGGCATCAAATTTCTGATACACAGATAAGAATTAGCCAATTGAAGTAACATACAGAATTCCAAATTTAGATATGCGTTAATACTCACGCCAGTTGTTATCCCATATACAAGATCTGTGTAATTTGGATTGTGATGGCCATTGCCAAAGGCTATGAATTGGTGGGGGACAGCGTAAGGTAACAAGCTTACAGCAGCTGTAAACACATCAATGCAGAAACCTTGGAAATTGTCGGACCCTTTGATTTGTGAAACAAACTCCTTGAAACTGGCCCGAAGTGGCACTCCAATGTTTAGTAGCTTCCCGTTGTTTGGGAACACCCATCCTCGAGGCTTTTCCACTGTATTTCCTGGCCATATAACCTCGTACAGCTTCTGATTTGCGTGTGAACGGTTAGGTGGTCTGGAATAGAGAATCTCAGGAGCTTCAATTGATAGACCAGAATAGTTAGACCAGTAGCCAACCCTTCTTGACCCAGTCCCGATAACGTTAATAATATGATATGCAGGATGAACAAGGGATCTACCAGAATCGAACTTAAGGGCACCCGTCAAACCAAAAAGGTCACTCTCCAATATGTTATTCAGCAGATGATTTCCACCATCGAAGATGGTCATAGCTTCAAGATGAAGATCACCGTTTCCACTGAAATTCAGCCTGGAATCATTAGAATGTGTAATGACCCCACCTTGATTAAAAAATTTGTCAATAGCATGAGCAACCACCCAGACAGAGTCATAAGCATAGAGACCATAAGCATTCAGACCTAAAGAGCCACCAGTTAACTTATTCCACCTGGAAAGAAAAGCTTTCTTTTGATCTGACTCTGCTGTGTGCTGGCGTAAAGAAAGAACTCCTTGCATCGAGTCCAAGGTCTCAGGAGGTGGGGGAACAACACTATCTAGTAGAGACGAAAGCCAATCAGTTGCTATCCATACATATCCATTGCCCATCATTTGAAGGGATTTAGCCACTGAAAAGACTAAAGTGCCTAATTTGGGGTTCACATGGAGAACCATAACTCTTGATTCCATCAATGCAATCTTAACAAGTTGATCCATAACTTGGACTTGGTTTACCGCAGTTTCGGGACTAATACCCACCTTGTATGTGATTTTACAACGTTTTTCAGAAAGCTTATCATCCAATGCTGCAATACCATTCCACCCATAATCATCATCGACGTATATAGCGATAACCTCTTTCCAATCATAGTACTCAATAATCTCAGCAACTGCAGTCATTTGAAACAAATCACTCTGTGCAGCCCTCACAAAAAAGGGAAACTGAAGGGCGGAGAGAGTAGGATCTGTAGCTGAAAATGAGACTAGAGGAACTTGGAACTCGGTTGCAATTTGGGATGAAATGTGGGCAACCACAGAAGATTGGGGGCCTATGATGGCGACGGTTGCATTCTCCATAAGTTGCAAAACTACGACAAATTCATGGTTAGCTCTAGTTTGGGATTAGATGAAAACTCTTCAACAACACACGCAAAACTAAAGCAGTAAAGAAAGAAGGAAGGGATTACCTTCGGCCATGCCTAAGAACCCACTACAGTTGGAATTTTGCATTTGTAACCAAAGGTTGGTTGTGGGAAGAACGGTAGGATCCGCATTCACATCTTTCACAGCTTCTTCAATGGCAATCTTGGCAACTTTTCCAATGGTAGAATCAAAAGAAAAAATAGCTCCAATGTTCACGACCGATGGTCTTGAGGAGATGTTCTTACCAAGCCCAACAGGGAATATACCACAATAAAGAGATAGCAAGGAGAGAAGCCAAATGAAACTCATTTGCGCTTCTTTGCCTGAGAAGTCTGTGGCCTGCCGCTAAAACAGGGGATTTTATCAGCGTCCAGTTTATGAAAATAAAGAAACTCCCAGTGAAACTAGCCGCGTCTGTCTATGTAAACTCTAAATGAAATATGATATGAACCCATTAAATCCTACTACAAAAAGAACTGGTAGAGAGAGAGAGATCTATCCATCCGTTTTCTTATTAGCTTGGGGCGAATCAGTTACACGCAGAACCAAGAAAAACTTAAACATTAAGCATTCACAATGAAGCAGACCCGGAATCCGATTCCTTTCTCTCTGCAAACTAAGAAGAAAAAATCAGCGCCCAATATGAAGGCCACTAAACTGTTCCCTGAAGATAGGTATTATTGTACTGAAACAAAACACTCAATACCGAATGCCCCCAACTCCCAGAAACAGCTTGATTGAAATGGATATTCAACTATCCTCAAATTTAAGTAAGAAGGGATACAAAATTGGGCTGATAAAGTAGCAAGTAACAGAAAATTAATGAACTAATGACCACCCGAAACAGTCCGACGGGAGTGGAAATTCTGCTACTGCAATAAAACTTCACAGAACGGTACATTCCCCGAAGAAGGAATGAAGAAATCGAAAACTAAGAACCTGAATCGAAGCTGCCGCAGTAAGAAACTGCTCCTGAAAGGTATGGGAACGATTGGTAGACGAAGTATACGCTGGATGCTAAATCAGTAGCTCGTATGGCGGAACAGAGAATCCAGAACTTCTGAAATTAGTTGATGAAGCTGGCAAACACTACTACGGCACCGTGGCGGAACCACGTGAGAAATTGGACAGCAAAAGGCAGAAAATTCAATCACTCATAGATGAAGCAAAAGTTGTGGAGCGCGCAGAGTTGTTTTCTTCGAGGCCCAATCTTTCTGCTGCAACTTGACAAGACTATCCGCCATCGCCCCCGTCGATTCTCCACCGGTGGGCCCTTCCGCCCAAGTGGGCAGCTAATACTCGGGGTTAATTCCGGAAAAAGCGATCATTTTTTAGTTAAGATTAATTTCTTAATCAGTTTTAAGATCGATTAGTCCCTCGGTTTAAAAGGGTTTAGATGGACTAGTTAGTTGCGTACTTTATCCGACAACTGTAGTGATGCTTTTTTCTTATTTAGTGGAAAGATCTTTTGAAGTCCTTTCTTTTTTATTTCTTTTATTTTTTTGTCGACAGCAAAATAAATAGTTCTCTTCACTGTTCTTTAGGAGGCAGCCTTAAATGACGTGGGATTTTGGAGAGTGCAGTTATTGTTGCTCTATGTATTTTGGTAAGACTTTGTTACGGGGAGGATAGGATAGGATGAAACCAATTAAATGTTAGACGAGGCTTGGTACAATACCAGGAGAAGGTAAAGAGGGTATCGGGCAAGCCCATATCAGCATTCTTGTACCACTGGAGGAAACAAACACGAGGGAGACTTATAGGTATAGTCCAGAGCAAACCCACCACACATGACGTGCACAATTCCAGCTATGCACTGAAAAGAGTCATCAAAAAAGCGTCCAACCTTCTATCTTAGCCGCAACATCTAGTCGCGTCCAATCAGAGACTACCACGTGTTGGCTGGAAGGATCAAGAACAGGAAAGAAGGATAGCGCTGGACCGTCCGTTTGCCAGTCCAGAGATCCAAGGGCTGGGTGTCTCTGGCGGCACCGATCCACAAATTTCACACAAGGTCATCAGTCAGCCATAAAAACAACCAATAATAACTGATCACGTGTCGCCATTCGCGCACCTAACTGACAGCTACCAGATCCACCGGATAACCTGGAATCGCCGGTCACCAACCAAATACATGCAAGTTCGTTCCCTCTTTTTTCTCCCTTTCACCTTCATTTCTTCGCTCCAAAAAAACCCTCCTGAAAGATTCTGCTTGTCTTCCCCACATTTTCTCCTCTTAGGGTTTCGTTTTTCTTCTAATTCTCCGACCACCACCACCACCGCAAACTGCGATCCTTCTCAATCACGCGCCTCGTCAGAATTCTTCTCTTCTTTTTACGGATTCTCCTCAAAATTATCGATTGTTCTTTCTTTCTTTCTTTTTTAGTTGCTCGCATCTCTTTGAGACTTCTTGGACGTTTTTATTAGTTATTCCACTTGGTTTGCTTTCTGGCTTCATAAAGCCTCTGCCCATTTCAGTAATATACATAAAGCCAGTTTTCCACCTTACTTTATTCGACAACTTTTGGAGGATTGTGATTTCGTCGAGCGATTTTTCTGGGTTTTGGTTCTTCCGCACGATTTTAATATTTGGCTTAGTAGATCCGGTATTTCACATCGGACGCAAGGGAAGGGTGGCATATATTGCGGATGTTTCCTGGGTTTCTCATCCGTATTTTATAGTTCGATCTGCAGTTTGATCTGGGTGTCCTTGTGTTACTGGTTTTCAAGTTATCTGGGTGTCCTTGGACTGGAGGCTGCGACCTTATAATAATTTCGTTAGGTTGAGGTGGATTTGTTCTTCGACTCACTGGTTGATCTGTACTCCAGACCCTGGCAGTAAGCTCTGGAACTTGCCAACACTAAATATTTTTTACTGGTCAGCATAGTCTATTTTACGAGCTTCAAGGTCGGAAATTTGACATCTAAGAATTGCATCGTCCCAAGGATGCTGTTTGTGTTTCTTCTGAGATAAGGGTTAAAATCTGCTTTGTAGATAAATTTATGCCTTGGAAGTAATCATGGCTACGGGTATAGATTTTTCACCTCCCTTTGCCCTACTAGAAGGCGGCGGATACAGTAAGGACAATGTATCAGCGACAAATGACGAAAGTTCTGATAGCTTTAATAGTTTGAAACAGATGACCACTGGGAAACCTCCCCGACACCTCTCGGTTTCGCGGCATAGTGTGAGCTCTATAAAGCTGCTAGGCCAAGCTGATTTAGTGAGTAATCATTGTTACATTTTCTATTTTGGGGAGATGCAGATCAATTCATTTCTTCCTTTTGAATTTTGTCTGTAATAATGTCCTTTCAATTTCATGGGATGATTTGATGTTTGTGCATTGAGGTATAGTGTAGTATAGCAAATATTTAAGTCTAGCTTGGCACAATGACGTTACAGGCATGGAGTTCTGGTTGCTTTCTTTTCCTTTAATAAGTAGCATGACTGGTATTTAAAACATTTTTGTTGTAAATTTTGGGAAAACCATTTACATCTACAGAGCTTGGATGCCGATACTCTTGGGAATAATTCGCCTGATGGGAAAGCAGGATTCTTACCTGTCTTCAGATCGGGTAGCTGTTCAGAAAGGGGACCTAAGCAGTACATGGAAGATGAGCACATATGCATAGATGATCTTGTAGAACACATTCATGCATGTGCAGATTTCACTTCTCCTGGAGCTTTCTATGGTGTGAGTATCCCTTTTCACCTTGATAACATTTTGACCTGTAAATAGTAACATTCTAGGTGCAATGTCCTTTAAAGCTGACAAGTCGTGACGATAATTATTCATCTGCCTTTTACAGTAAACCCATTCGATTCATTAGAAAGATAAGCTTTGTCTACCAATAATTTTGTTAGTAGCAGTGCACATGTAATTTTCTCTGTTTCAGAAAGTGGTTCTCTTGGATGCGCTCTTTAACGTTGTACTTGGTGGAATTGATGTGTGGCAGGTATTTGATGGCCATGGGGGTACAGATGCAGCAGCTTTTGTCAGAAATAACATCCTTAGATTCATAGTCGAGGACTCCTGTTTTCCAGTTAGTGTAGATAAGGCAATTAAGAGTGCTTTTTTGAAAGCTGATTATGCATTTGCTGATGCTAGTTCTCTGGATATCTCCTCCGGCACAACTGCGCTAACTGCTTTCATTTTTGGAAGGTAGAGATCTCAAATTATTGGCAGCTCTAATAGGAGTAATGATGGTTCAAGAAAATTATTCTGTGATATGAAATTTGCTCTATGCTTGACAGTTTAAAAAATGAATTTCTGTAGTATTTGTTTGAGACAGTGGGAAGGAATAGATCGAGGAAATTATAGAGAAAATAACGAAATATAAGAATGATAGATGGAGGGAGGAATTAATGGAAGAAATTGGATAAGGGAAGATTCGTGGGAGGTATGTGACACGGATAGAAGCCAAACCATATCATAATAGGAAAGTATAGGTCCTAAGACCAAATCATAAGGAAGAAATTGCATTATGTACTAAGACCACATGTATAGAAGCCAAACCATATCATAATAGGAAAGTATAGGTCCTAAGACCAAATAATAAGGAAGAAATTGCATTATGTACTAAGACCACATGTATAGAAGCCAAACCATATCATAATAGGAATCATCGACTAAATGGTATTATATGAAAAATATGGCATAGTAGGTTTCAAAGATTAGAATCCAAAGATTCCTGTATTGATGTATGTTACATGAATTATTTAGTGCCCCATTAGAGGGCAAGTTCCTTGGACTAACATTTGTTGTTCAAACACTGAATGCTCATCTGTCCAAGTTTGGTTTTAAAAGTCAAACGTGTCGTTGCAAATTTTCATCGTTCAGCATGTGGTATTCTGAATCGTTATCCAATCACTTCTTACTTTTCTTTTCCTTACAGAACAATGATTATTGGGAATGCCGGAGATTGTCGAGCAGTTCTGGGGAGGAGGGGCAAGGCTATTGAGGTGTCAAAGGATCACAAGCCCAATTGTGCATCTGAAAAACTCAGAATAGAGAAGCTCGGGGGAGTGATTTATGATGGCTACCTGAATGGTCAGTTATCTGTTGCGCGTGCTATAGGAGACTGGCACATGAAAGGTTCCAAGGGTTCTGCATGCCCGCTGAGTGCAGAGCCAGAGCTGCAGGAATTGCAATTGACGGAGGAAGATGAATTTCTAATTATGGGCTGCGATGGTCTTTGGGATGTGATGAGCAGTCAGTATGCTGTTACAATGGCAAGGAAAGAGCTGATGCTGCATAATGATCCTGAAAGATGTTCAAGAGAGCTGGTAAGAGAGGCGCTGAAGCGCAATACATGCGATAATTTAACCGTTATTGTAGTATGTTTTTCTGCTGATCCGCCCCCTCGGATAGAAATTCCCCCAACTCGAGTAAGGAGAAGCATATCATTAGAAGGGCTGAATTTGTTGAAAGGTGTACTGGACTGCAATTCATGATTTCCAAGGGAAAGAGATGTGGGAGTTGGTGTACATATAACATTGGTTTAGCAGACTGGGCTATGGTCTCTCACCCGACCTACCGATGCCCCTCGTCTATTTGGCATTGGATGCTTTAACGAGGACAATAAAAAGGAGTCATGTTGGATTCTATTGTTTTTTCCTTTTCCTTTTCTGTTTCAATGTGATTTCGAATTCCATGCGTGTACAGATTACTGTTGTACCAGTTGGAAGCCCAAAAATTCATTTGTTTCTCATCTCTCTCTGCTTATTTATGAAATTCAGAAATTGGCGCAGCATGAACCTTCTCCTGACTATCTTTGTACGACAACGAAGCACGGCTTCATATATTTAGGAGCTGTTTTAATGTGTCTCAGTTTGTTGTTATTTTTGTTTATAGCACACCAGACCAGACAACGAACGATAAATAACACACCATCTCAATTGTGGTCAATTCCAATTGCTTTCGACAATTTTGCTTGTTTCTCAAATCACCTTTCATGAAGCACTCCACGAGAACTATAAGGACAAAGATTACAAGTTCACATTAGCCAAAGGGCTGCATAGTAACCACACGAGAATTTCAATGAAGGGTGCAAATTGGATGCCACTGTAAGAAACTTTGACAGTGACATGGCCATTCCAAGTATGTAGCTTATGGGGAAAGAGCAACTGGTTTTATAGCTTCGCTCTCGAGCCTATCTTAAGAATATTTCATAATTCTCCATCTGCTTCGTCATCATTGTCATTCAGCTGAGCACCGCTGCACATAGACAAGGTGGCTACTATTATTAAGTTTCACAAATCAGCAAAGATGGTCCAGAGATGAAAAGGAAAAGGTTATCCAAAACAGTGGCTATGATTTTAGCCATCACCTAGGAACCGCCATCTAAATTCTGAGGTAGGATAAGTTCATAGTATAGTCAATATAGTGTTTATGTAGATTTGAAAAATAAAAATCATTTTTATGCAAGTATTAGAAGAAGAAGAAAAAAATACTGTTATATGAAATAGTTTAGGTTTGATATTATCATTTTAGATGTTCTAAGAATTAACAATCGTTCTGCTTTCTACATCCACGCATACTTGTTTTGAAATCTATCATAGAAAGAGGTCGTACGGAAAACTATTTTAGGAGGAGCAGTTAAGCAATATAATAATTAATACTATAACTAGCACAGAATGAACATTTTTACCATAAGTTCGACTTCATAGTTAGATTAACATTTGAAAATGATATAAAAGCACTTTTCAGAGACGCACAAACAGGAAACAGCACAATAAAATTACCTCGCCTTGCTGCAATGTCTGCTCAAATCATGGCATAGGACTTTCTTAACGTTACTTGCTCTGATAGATCCTTTCTTAATCAACTCTGCCAACTGCAGGTTCATCAATATCAAGAAATAGATTAGATCTGTTTAGAGGAAAAAAGGAAGGTATTCCTTTATGAGGCAAAACATGTCAACTTACGTCATCTTCTGCTTCCTCTAATAACCTGTCTCATTAATAAACAACATTAGATTAGTAAAATCATAAATCTATATGAACCAGCTGGATTATGATCGCTGAATTGAATAATCATCAGGTGATATAGTCTCACCTTCCACAATAAGTTGATATGTCTTTTGAATAGGCCCGAGCTTCTTGTTTATCTATAACAATGAAAGCAATGTATTTGCATAAAACAAAAAAAACAAAAATAACTTCATATGCATATGCAGGAAGGAAGCTATAAATATAAGTTATCTACAAGAATGTGAAATTTTGGGTATGAACAATATCTAAATAAACCCAATCAAGGCCAAAACATATATAAGGCCATTTGTGATACTTGTTTCCAGCTTCGTTTTCTTCTACTCTATGCATCGGGTGCATGACAGTTAGTTAGATATAAAACATTCAGCAACTTTTTTTGTAAAAAAAAATTATAAAAAACATTCAGCAACTTAAGGATTATTGATTCAGAACTAGTTGAAAGACAGACACTTCAATTTTCCACATACTTGCTAGGTTGTCCCAGTTATCCACCTTGATCCACTGTTGTCCAGTTGAATCTGTCTGCACCAAGAACAGATAAACAATTATCTCACGAAGTAAGCTAATAATGTAATTTCTAATCAAAGATTCGGTTTCAAATGAAGTGTAAACACCTGCACTATGCAGATATCCATTTCTACAATTTCTTAAAATGATAGGCCCTCAGACTACTGTTCTAGATTACAATCCATCTAAGATCAAACAGATAATTTCAATGAAGTACCTTATCAATCGTGTAATCTTGCATGTTTTCACAAAGCCCATCCAGGAGTTCGACTACTCGTAGCTCACTGACCCTGTAGAAATTTACACTCACAATTTACAAATATGAAGTTCATTCATATTTAGAAACGAACTAGTAACAAAAACATGACTAATTGGGAAAATGTAATAAGACCAATCAGTTTTAATAAACTTAACATGTAAACAGTTCCAAACTACTTACCGCATTAAATTGAACTGTAAGTCTGTATTTCAATAAGAAAGTAAAAATTTGATATAATTAAAGCAATTAAAATCAGAATTACTACGAAATGGCCCACTTCTTTATCAAGTAATTACAGTGCAGAAGAAAATTTGCTTCATTTGGCAATAAAAGTCTCTGTTCTGCTTCATCAATATCAAATATTTTTTAATGCTTGATTAGTGCAATCTAACAGTACAAAGTTCATTAAATTCATAAATTTCATACTTAGTGGTTCTCTACAGGCCTTTATACAAGCTACTCGTAAAGTTTGACTGCCGATGCCCACAAAACTCAATTGTAGGTCCTACGTTAGTAAGTGCCAAGAGTGGCCCAACATATATTCCTCCTGAACTATTTCAACAATTCATCTATCTATTTTCACCACTTCATTTAGTAAGCATATAAGAAGAAATGTGCTAAACAAGCCAAAAAAAAGGGCATCCTGAAAATCGGGATGTTGATGTTTTACCTGTAATCAATTACCTTCCCTTTACGCTGACCTTTAGAATCCAACCGATGTCTCATATCTAAATGATTCCTCGGTTTTTCCTATTTAAATATGTAATTACTGGTTGTTACTGAAGCCACTTATACACTTCAGACCATGTAAAACTGACCAAACTATGAACTCACATCAAACAAAGAAATTTTCTATACAAGTGTACATCGCCTTACATTGGAAAGTCCACGTTCTATCTCCTCCTGGGATCAATAAATACAGAAGTTAGATCCCCTTTTATATATCTATTAGTTTAGCATCAGCGATGTTAAGCGGCAATACGATCAATTCAGCATCAATATGAACAATTACTAAGATATCAAATCAGAAAATGCAGATATCCACTGAGAAAAGATACACATACAACCAAGTTGTGATCAAACTACAAGGCAATACAACACAGAAAGTTAATGCCACTCGAAAAAACACTAATTGACAGTGATCAGATGCAGGCACGCATTACATAGAATAAGCGAAAAGATGAAGGGTTCTTAATATTCGAAAACCAAATCAAGGAAGGGAACAAAGAGAATTCAAAGGGGAATTGTAGGAGCGAGAAATTACGGCAACAGCATTGCAGGCGGCGCATTTATCATCAATGCAATCGACGACGCCGAAGTAGATCACTAATAACAATAGAACCCACGCGTTGGATTTCATGGTCGTTTGCGTCTGGTCCAATCGGAGCCTGAGTTTCACCTCCTCTCTCCCAACACCTCACAGAGCTTCTCTTCCGTTTGCAAATCTGAAGCGTCAACAAACAAAACGAAGGGAAAAAATGGCGGTATCCTTGACGAATGTATGGGCCTGGCTCGTGGATTACAGGCCTTCACACAACCGATGCCCACTAGCATATGCCCGACTCCATATTGGGGCTCCATAATGACCCATCGCTTTAAACTCGTCTTATAAAGTTTTGTAATTTTTTTGGGATAGCCATTTTCATCCAAAATCTCAAAAATTTCATTAATATAATCTTTTTGTTGAGCTTATTGTAAAAAGTCGATAATATAAAATAATTGATGGACAAATTCAAAACAACTAATAAAATATAACTATATATGATCTAGGGCAGCAAATATGATGTATGGAAATTTATGAATATGGAAAATATATTTATATAAACTGAAGTGTTTTAGTTCAAGCTGAGTTGAGTTTTGAGAATCTGATGAATTGTCGATGAAGGAAATACCAGATCCATCGCTGGATTCCCTGAACGAGTCAGGGGAGGAAGATGGAATTGAAGAAACGCGGCAAGAACAACAGAAGCAAAAACGAGAAGAACGAGAAAGCATTTTGCTGCAATTTCTGGATTCGACGGATGATTATCTGAATCTGTTGGATGCATTGTCATCAACACTCCGCCAGGTACGCGAAAATTGATCTCTACATCAATCAAACCCTAATTCTAACATAAGTTTGTATTTTGGATTTTGGATTCCTACAAAACAAATTGACTCAATTATGCTTCTGAAATGGTTGAAATTGAGGAGGTATTAAGCGTCCGGATATCTGCAATGGAAGAGTCTAATAGGATTCACTTCTAAGACTTGTCGGATTTACCGAAATAATGGCCGTAAACAATTCTCTGCTCGATTTCTAAGAACGCTTACTGAGGGATTGCTTTTATTCGCTATATCTTAATTTCTTTTGGCTGCGGAAATGCTGCCTCTAACTTTGCGCATCCATTCGAGTAACAGGGATGGTTTGATTTGGCGAGCGCCCGACATTCTATGGGTACCTCTCGCGTAAGCACTGCATTACTGGACTTGAAAATTCATTCTGCTGCTACATCGCTGCGGGTGGACGAACGCGATGGTAATCTTAATCACCCCCGCTTCCCAGATATCATTATTGAAGTTTGAACCAGCTAGGAAATTCTATAAACATTTAACCATCTTCCGACTATTGTTCAACCACTCAATTCCCTGAAAAATGGAGGATTTAAGCCTAAACTTGAGAGAGTCTTTTTGATTGCATAAACCAGAGAGTCTGATTATCATGTAACTACTTGATCTAGTGAACTGTTCCACATATAATGATAAATGTTCTTTAAACATGCTAAGTTGGCAATAGTCTCACTTGGTAATGATATGTCCACTGAAGGTGGCTCCATAGGAACGCAGCCATTCATTAACTTGCGGAAATGGACATCCACTGAAGGTGGAGAGTGCTTGGTAGAAGATAAATACAATGACAAATTGGAAAGGAAATCTGATAGTCCTCAGCTACGACAACGGAACATTTCTGAGCTTTCTGGTAGTTGGTCCCATCTATTCATGCTTACAGAATTTTTTAACCCAAGTTATTTCCTCTTTTTGGTTTCTGTTCTTTAGAATGTATGTAAACTCTCTTCTTCTGTTCATTAGAAGATGATCTGGGGAGAAGTTCTACAAAGAAAGAAGATGCTTTCATCATTGATGATCAGGCGAGTGTTGGTTCCATTGACCTAATACTCTCCTTTTATAGACTAGTTGTGGCTTTTCCTTCTTGTTTTACGGTTCATATTTATTTGCTCTGTGATACTGGGATGGTAAAGAAGTGGACACCGACTCACAGTATTTTGATCGTGTTGTGTAGGTACAAAAGGAACGATCTCGAACACTTTCAATGTTTGGAACTTTAGTTTCCCCCAAGCTCCGATCAGCTCAACTTTCATTTGAAAATGGTGAATTTCTCAATACCTGTATCCTCATTAAATGGGGCGGGCGTGTGTGTGTGTGTTATATAGTTCAAGAATATGATACTGACACATATTCGCAATTTATTTTTTCGCAGCACTTGAACTTATTGTGGAAATTGCAAATAAGCGTTTGGCAATGTCATCTTCCTTCGATCAAGTCAAGAAAGGATTGGACGACGCATCCTCCTTCGAGCAAGTGAAGGAAGAACTGTAAGGCACCGCCAAAACATGACAATCATTTGTTTCCCTCATGGTAAATTGTTTTAATTACCTCAAAGTTAGCTATGATAGTTGGTGGGATGATGTCCACAGTACAAATTAACGGACCTGTTTGGTTTTGTCTGTGCACTCTCTCTCACCTCAAAGTTAGCTATGGTACATGAACTCTGTATTCTTCAGAGAAGTTGTAGAAGAAATGGATTTTGCACCATATTCTTCGTTGAAAGAATAACTCGATCTTTGTTTCTTACATCTCTATGTGTATCCAAGGCATGTTGTGAGTGTGCAAATGGACGTGCGTTCTTGTATCTACCTAGCTCAAGAAAAGTAAACCAAGAGATGTGCAATTTCTTTTGCAAAACATGTCGTCATAAACAAACAATGTCATGAAATCAATACATATACCACCACCTTAACGTACAAAAATATGTCCATCCATTTCAAGTTCTTCCAAGCCATAACAAAAGACAAAAAATGGCACCCGGCTCACTATAAAGAACAAGATAAGTTGGGAAAACAAGGGAATTGATACAAGTACATAAACTCAAACAGGATTCTGAAGGTTAGAAAGCTCTCCAACTATCAGAACTTTTGTTGGGACTTTGATTCTCTGATGGGGCTTTAAACGGGGCAGAGGACCCAAATGGGTCAGCATCATCAAAAGAGAAGGCACTGTGGCTGAAATCTCTGGAGCTGCCAGCGGAGTCAAACCTGGCGTGCCGCTGGCTGCTCTGGCCGAAGTCCATGCTACTACTGATAGAATCAAACCTTGAAAACTTCTCCTGGTTACCGCCAAAGTCTTGAGAACTGCCTATTGAATCGAACCTGGAGAACTTCTCGCGTTGTGGAGAAAAACTGGGATCCTGCATGCTGAATGAATCGAACCTGGAGGAATTGTCAAAGAAGTGGTCCCCCACATCACTATAACGAGGGGAAGAGGAGTTGCCGAATCTAGAGAGAGGAGTGGGAGGGACAGAATCCTCAAAAAATGGGCTTTTTGTCTGAAAGAAGCTATCTGCATTGGGGGATGCTGTTTTAGCAGAGCTCGTATCGAAATCACCGGATCCAAACATATCTTGGTGCTTTTCAGCGTCTGATTCCTGTGTGATGCCATCAAATATAAAGAGAAAAAAATAGGCATGGCTCAAATCCAATAATCAGTCCCACACTAGTGAGCATCATTGCCAACTATGATCTCAAATTGAAATATAAGGGCATGCATCAAATTTCCCAACAACAGAAGGGAACATCAAAAGACCAAGACCATGTTCATGAATCAATTTTAGGATATCATTTGTGTTTTCTTTTTTAGAAAATAGTTTCCAATAATAAACCCAAATAGAATCTCAGCATTTTCATGCTCACCTTGGTATTAACTGGTTTTATTCCCCAAACTGAGTCCACATCGTCATTGTTGTCAAAGGCGCCCCAAGTTGACTCATCGAAACTTCTAATGCAAGAAATAAACAAAAAGGCATAACATAAAATAGATGGGGCTGTATGAAAGAGCTGCAAGAAGTTACAAGTATAAAAAAATAGGAATCCATTATTACCTATATGCTTCCGGACTTTTTTCATAAACAGCATCTGAAAATTCATGAGGGCTTTCTAGAGATGTCTTTGCAGCTGGACTGCCATATGGACTTCTAGCTGATTCATCTTCACTGTGGCTATACATAAATTCACTCTCAAGGCCATGATTGATGGTACTCGAGAAGATCCCCACTTTGGTCTTGTCATTGCCATTGAACGATGAATCAAGGGTTGAGTTATAATCTTCTAGATCCTTTTCATCCAGACTATCTGACATTTTTGGTTTTGAGGCAGAAACACGCTTCGGATCGAGATTGAGGTCATTGGAAAATCCTGAAAGGTACATTAAGTAACTCATATGAACAAAAATATGAGGTATCTCCATCAAATTACTAGTCGAAGTTAGCAGACAACGAGACCAAAAACTACATCACTGTAAATCCAGAGAAGTAAATAACTTGTAAAGAATCACTTATACCTTCATCTTCAAACTTATCCCACTCTTCATCCCAAACAGCTGCATCATCCGCAATTCCAGGTTGCCAGCCTAATATGTAAAATGTCATTAATTGAAACCAAGATACATCAAGTCACTTTGATCGCATAATGGGTCATCACATCATGCCACAGATGATGTACAATCAGTACAGGAACAAATGTACCACACATTTCCTTAACTTTTTTTTAATTTTTTTTTACAACGTTCAGTTAGAAGATGCAAGCACATGCAAAAGGAATCTAGATAGAAGATGAAAAAGTATAAATCTGAGGCTAATGTGAGACTAGTACCTACTGGAAGTTCGATCATAGCTGCCGACTTAACATCAATTCCATGTCTCTTACAACGTTCAGTTAAAGCCTTAAGAAGCAACTCAATATCAGATTGTATTCGATCAGCTCGGACCTGAAGAAGAAAAACATCAGTACTAGACAACAAAACAGAATAGCCTTCGGCAAATTGAAGCACGCAGCTATGTAGCAAAATCATACCTGAAGAATACCATCAGCACTTCCTCCTTGTTCCATTTTAATAATTGCTTCATGCAGCTCTGCCTTCCTTTCCTGGAAGAATGACAAACAACAGGGGATTGTAAAATTACACATGAAACAACAAATCTCAAATGCAGCCAAGGACAAAAACTTTAAAGTGAAAGATGAGCGTATGGGCTTGTGGCTTAAAATGGTTACTTTCCCCTGCAAGCATACCGTTCTGGTCATCAAGCATTATAAACTTCTGTGAGTTTCTATTAATGATTAAATGCACTGAATAAACTCTCCCTCAAAAAAAAAAAAAAAAAAAAAACACTTGGAAAATTCTAATCTAATGAAATTTTAATGCATTTAATTAAGTTCGGTCAAAATGCCAACCAATGAATAATATTCACTGATCCTTTATGCTAAATTTTTGCATCAAGTCCATTTAACTACGTCATATTCACATTTTTTTTGGGGGGAAATCACATACGTTAGCATAGACAAACATATAAATGAAATAGTATGAGGTAAGTAAATATCCCTATATCAAGAATTGATATATAAAGAACTTGAAAACAAAATAAAGTGTCCCCAAGAAACTTTCTAATTAATAGCTGAGCAGTGACAGCAGCGATAAGATTAACCAGCCGGTTCCAGTGGATGCTATAAAAAGGTGGAAGAAGATGCATAACAATTCAGGTACAATATCGAAGTACAGTTTCAAGATGTGTATTTTAACTTGAACATCACGATAATTTGCTTCTTCAATGGTTAACTTAGATGCTAAGTCAGCCACTTGCTTGTACTTCTCCTCATATTTTTTCCCCAAAGTTTCTGCCTGCAATATAAAGCCATAAATAAGTGCAAAGAAAAAGAAAATGGTAGCGGACCTAAAAACAGAATAGAAAATACCTCACGCCTGTCAGCAGATGCCCTTTCTGTGATCTCATTTAATCTATTATCACATCTGCTTTTATGCAGAACCTGAAAAGAAGACAATGATCAAATGTACAAATTTGAACTACTTACATAAGAAAATAGTCAGAAAGTATTTTTGAAAAAAGTTGAGCAAAACATTTACTAAAAAGAACAAATAGACTTGGAATTGCATGTTGAACACATATTATCAAGAAACTGAAAGCAAAGGCAGCGAAGAGTAGTTACAAGTTCCTGCATCATTGTGCGATAGAATTCAATCTTTTCTCTTGAATCCAAAATAACATTATCTGTCTCTCCAACCTATCAAGGATGAGATAAAAGAACATTAGAGAGAATAATACTGCATAACAGGTGATGTCAACCTTCTGAATTCAAGAGGAAATAAGAAACGAAATATATACTTGACATGATAGAAGGGGAACATTTTACAAGGAATAAAAAAAGAAGCCCATTAACTAGCAAGCGTAGGAATTACTCAAATAGGATGAAACTGGGTCCTCTCAAAAACATAATATGAAAGTTGACTGATAGATATAAGGAGATGCCTTTTTCTCTGATGCTGTAGCATCTTGAGCATTTGGGCTAGCTGAATTCTGTTGGTTCTTGTCAGATTGGTCCAGAAATGAATCCTCCAACACTGGAGTCCTTGATTTCTGCGCATTGGATAGTCTAGCACCACCAGCCTTCGAAGCAGGTACATTTGTTGGGGGCCTCAATCCTGCAGTTGGTGCCATCGACCGAGCAGCGACCTGGGGTTGCTGCTGTCCAAATCCTAATTTCAAAGAAGGAAAAGTTAAGGAAAAATATAAGAAAGAGAGAAATAAGAGGGCAAAAGAAAATAAGCACAACTGACACTCTAGTAAGTACCAGGATGGGGACCCCAAGCTACATTTGGGTGGACAACGTTAGGTTGTCCTGTCATGGACAACAGAGTCTCATCAAACATAACATTATTTGGAAGCACAGCTGGAAGAGGTCGACCTTCCCTGTAACGTTCCATTAGATATAAAGCAAAACTAAACTCTCTGAGAGAAAGCATGCTGTCATTGTCTTGATCAGATAAGTCCCACACCTGCTTCAAGACCTCTGAGAATATGAAACATAGATTGAGCGTGCATAATGAATTAAAAGAATATCCATAAAAGCAACTTTACAAGAGTTTCGGTAAATAAAGGAAAAGTTAGGACAGGCATAACTTCCTGGGGATTAGAAAAAAGTATACGTGAATTTCTTAAACTAAAACTATCTTCCCAGCATTACATTAGAAAGCACATATATTTCCAAATACTCAAATTGTGTCTAACTGCTAATGAGTTGCTAATATAAAAAGAGTCGTCAACTAAAGGGCAAAACCAAACCTTTTTGCATATCAGAATGAAAAGAACCATAATTCTAACCTCAAAACTTGCCGCTTAACATTAATACATATTCATTGAGCACATATGCTCATTTCCATTTTTTTGTGTAATACACAAACAGGAAAAGGACGAAGCCTCCCAACTAGAGATCTTTTTTTGGGGTAAGAAACCGAGTAAGTTGAGCAAACTTTGACATAAATATTCTATTCTAAATTGTTTCCTCCCAACTAGGAAAAGGACGAAGTCAATGATGTCATGCTATTCTAAATTGTTCCCCCCTTTTCATTGCAAAAACAACACTAAATTGTATCGCTAATTGTAAATTAAACAACTCTTCAACTACAATGAGAAATTACATTATAGATTTAAACACAAAACAAAAAGAAAAGAAAAAGGAGAGGAAGTCCGTACCTCTAGGTAACCTCCAACTTAAAAATAGATTCCGTGCCTGCTCACCAGTAATTCTACCGTCTCTGTCAGTGTCTACTTCCATAAAAACTTTTGTGTACTTCTGAACATCAGTTGGTTTCATCTTTGGCCAAGAAACCTGTGCATGTTCAGAAGTCGAGTTCCTGGCTCCAGTTGTGATCCCAGAAGATATAAGTGGTGATGGACCTGTTGCTCTAACCTCCTTGGTAGGTTCCAGTGCTGACTGAGAGAGCTGTAAGGGTGACTGATTGAGCTGTAAGGGTGACTGAGAGAGCTGTAACGGTGCGCCAGATAATGGCCGTGAGACAAAGGCACTCTGCAATGACTCCATCGATTTGTGCTGACTAAAAGGTTGGGATACACTGGAAACTGGAACGATGGCTGATGGGCCAATACTACCGTTAGCTGTATTGTTGAGTCCGGTAGAATCTGGTCTATGTGGAGATGGAGTAATAGAAAACATGTCAGCACCAATTGCCGACTTAGAAGTAAATCCATTACCAGAAACAGCCAGTGCTCTATCATTAGGCATAGGCTGAGAAGGCACTAAAGCTGATGATAACGACGTAGCTGGGGAAGGCACTGAAGGGCTAACTCCTCTAGGCCCAGCAGCAAGGGCACCACCTGGTCTTCCACCAAGCCAATCATTTGTGTTTGGAAGACTTGAACTCCGTACGTGTCCTCCACCAGAGTGTTCAGCAGCAGCAACAACCATTTGCGTACTGGAAGAAACACCACCAGGTGTAGCTTGAGGTAACCTCATGGAAGGGTTTGGCTGGGCTGAAATATGCTGCTGATTCACACCTACACTTGGAACTCCTTGTCCTCTAAAGCCAAAATTTTGAGATGCCGTTGGTGCAGGCATACTCATCTGTGGAGGAGATGCAGCAGGCACTGAAGTTGATTGAGGGGTAGATACAGCTGGAAGAACAATCTTTGGTGGGGGTATTTTCGCTGCAGCAGGACCATATAGTGCTGCCTTAACAATATCAGGAGTTAGCTCTCGCTTACTTTGAGCAACAGTTACGAGTCTGAGAGCATTATAAAATTCAGGTCGCCCAAGAAAACCTGTTTTTCTCTGATCAGCATGCATCCATATCTGCAAGTAAAGAAGATAACCTTGATTGGCTAAACCATTTACAGAATGACAGATTTGTAAGCATACTAACACTTCTTATTAAATGGTGGCAGTAGGCAATGGACACAACTAGAGGCGTCATCTTTCATCAGTTACATATTTATTAGAACAGGATCAAGTAAAAGGAAATCCTTTCAACATAATAGCTTAAATACAGACTATTTGTACCAGTTGGCTGAAACTGAATACAAATGCAAGATTGTTAGAGCTTGAATTGTACAACCAGACTAAATCAGCATGCGTTGACTACATCAGAAAATTGAATTGCAAGAAGGTCGCCAATTCAATCTCGCGAGGAAGTTTTAGATTTCAATCGCAGGTCTGACGTTGGAATGCGTGACAATTATATCTAAATACAGCATTTCGATGGGTAAAATGTTTCATAAAAGGAAGAACCTCAGCGAAAAACTCAAGGAAGGAAATTAAACACCAGAACTTTCCTAAAAGATATTGGCAACCACTCAATTAACAACTATTCCACGAGGCGCAGACACCTTAATTTTTAGACCGAGAAACAAAGTAATGAAGTGAAAAACGAATAGTTTATGGATTTCGAATTCGCAAACTAATCGAAGTACATGGACGCCATTGATCTAAGATAAATAGCGCATAAGAAATCTGGAGAATAAAAGGTGAGAAAGGGGGTAGAAAGCGAAGAAGGGAACCTGTGCAAGAACATTTTTAGGCAAATTGGAGCCCTGAAAGAAAGCGACAGCTTCAGCTCCACTAATCCTTCCATCACCATCCAAATCGGCTCTCCTGAAGAATGCGTCGAACTGATCCATATTAGCCCCCGCTCGATTGGATCCCGCCGGTAGCACACACAAAACGCAGTAGATCAAAATTCCTTCAGGCAATCATCGTCCCACCATGACCATTCAACCACAACAGCAAGAGCGAACAGAGGGAAATGAGACGGTAGGTCGATTGAGGAATTGTATAGTGTTAGTTGAGGGAGGAGCGCAGAGATAAGCCGAAGTCTGAAACGTGGGATCGAGGGAGGAGAAAAGAAGCCGATAACCAATATAACCGAACAGGGAAGAAAATTTAGGAAGCTTCAGGTAATGAGAAGGATTTGTACAGACAAAATTCCCGTCTGAATTTGGGTGGCTTAGTCACCGGAATTAACGTTTTTAATTCTCTTTCTTTCTATTTAATGCCTCAATTTTTTCATTTTCAAAGAAATAAAAACTCAATTTTCCCACAGAATATTTATTTTAATTCCGACCTACCAATCATTTTATCAAAATTATGCAACGGTTTCCATCCATCTCACCACAATCTCATTCTTAGTTTGGCGCCATTCTCAAGTATCTGTATAGCTGACCTTTGGATTCTCAAGCATGCATCCGTATGCTACAAACGATTTTAGTAATAGGCGTTAGCGGTACCTAGTGGTATCCTACTGAACTAAGGTGACTATCATTGGTAGGATTGAGAATCATATCGTTGAGTAGGTTGAATCCATACTCAAATGATGTAACGCTTTATGTTTAGGATTCAGAATCCAGATGATCCCGACATTCTATGTTACATAGTTGTCTTAACGTGCTTCTAAGAATGAAGACTATCCTCACAAACCAACCAAAGTCATTTATGCACGTTTTATCCTCACTCACATGCTTCTTAAGAAAATTCCTAAAAAGTGCCTTGAGAATCTTAAGAAAGTGGGCACCTAGATGCTGCATCAAAGTAGAAAAACAGTCGGATCAAGGATGCGGGCACAAGGTTAGTCGTATCGGAGATGTTTTTGTAGCTGGGTTGGAATTATGGTAACTTTAGGAGATTGCTAGCAAATGCAGGCAATTAATTAGTTTAGCATGTTTTAATCTTGTGCGGGTAGCGTGGATTTTACCTCTCTATTAGTTGATATCAGTTTGACAGTAGCTGATATCAGTGGAAGAGGATATCAGTTTGACAATAGCTGATATCAGCGGAAGAGGATATCAGTTTGACAATGGCTGATATCAGCGGAAGAGGATCTCAGACCAAACTACAGAACTGTATGAGTTGGTTGTACAAGTCAAATACAAGGAGTTCGATTTCTATTATATTGTAAGCTATATCAATGGTAACCACGTATGTAAAATGCCCCAACAAGCATCTTCAAAACTTGATTTCCTTTTACATGCTCTCTAATATTTACTGTCTCAGTTAACATTCCTCCAGGATGATCAGACCATTGTTTTCAAGAACATCTGTGGAATGTTAGGCATCAATCACTCAACCAAGTGGATATCCTTCACAAGGATGGTAAGGGGTGTAGCCGTCTGGTACGTTCATCTTATCATTATTTCCTGCACATTCGCAAGTTCAATGTACAAACTAACAAGTTATACTCAAATATGCATTATCTTCAAATATGTTTGATTCAGCATGCTCTCAAACGTATAGTGCTTAGAAGATTAGGAACGTACTGTGATTCTGTGCTGTGGCCACCTGACTTAAATGACTCGATCCGAAAGACTGAAACATGGGGTCCCCTTTGTTTGATTGTGCATCAAAGGCGAGCATTTCAGCGCCTAAATCAGATGTCTGAGAATACACGTTGTTGGAATTCGAAACGAATTGGTCATATGTTTGGAAGGTTTCTGGTTTGGTCTTTTTGTCCTTTGGAGAATCAACTTCTGTGTCTGGTTCTGAGTCTGGATTATTTGGTGTTGAATTTGCCTGCTTTCTTTTTGAGCGAGCCCTTCTGTTCTGAAACCAATTGTAAACATTTGCTTCTGAAATTTGGCCATGCTGTGTGAGGTGGAGAGTTATTTCCTTGATCTTCTGCTTGCTTGGGGTCCCATTGCCCTCATCAAAGATCTGCTCAAGAATTTGAAGCTGCACAGGCGTGGGCGTCCACCTCTGCCTAGCGCTTATCTTGTGACCAGCCGCAGATGCCATTATTTGATCGCAGTAAAGGTTCCCTACCCTAATTCCTGAAAAACCAGACAACATTAGAGCTGCTCACATAAACTTGATAATGAGATGAAGAAAGAGAAAGACCGGCAAGGTCCTGGTGGGCGGTGATAGCCTTGTGCATCTCCACGAGCTGCTCACATATGGTAGCATAGACAGAGATCTGGTGCCTGAGGAGCTCCATTTGCTCATCCGTCATTACCTTGACGTACAGCCCGCCAACTCCATCGCCGTTGCTCAATTGCTCTACTTGAATTTGCAATTGCTCAGTTTGGTTGTTCTGCTGCTGCTGGTTCGGCCACTCCATCCTCCTCCTCCTCCTCTTTTGCTTCTTCTTCCTCTTTTGTTGGTTCTTCTACGTCTCCATTCTCAGCAAACCCATTTGGGCATTTCCATTTCTCCTGTTAAGCAAAGCAAAAAGGGGGAAACAAAAACCACTCAATTGGAAGCAACGCACAAGAGACTTGGATAGTAGTAGGAGCCTAAAAAAAAGACAGAAAAAGGCGTGGAAAGCGCGGTCAGCCTACTGTGCTGTTGCTGAACATGCCACGTCGGACCCGCACTCTATCGCTAATTGCGGAGGTCGCGGCGGGTCTTCTGATTATCTTGGCTTGTCTGTATCTTTTCTTTGCTTTGCCACGACGGCAATGTCCCTTTACCACAAACCCTCCACTACTAGCTGCTACAGCGCGTGGGTTCCACGCACCAATACCACTGCACTCAATTCTGTTGGTGTTATGAACGACTTCATTATTGGGCCAACGTCAAACTGACTTCTCCAATGTTCCATGCAAGGTTCGGTTTTATAAAGAAAAAAAAGTTCGGTCTTTTTTTCTGCAGAAACCACCGACTGCAAAACCGAACCTCTTAGTGTGGAAACGTAATTAAAGGGATTTTTTTTTTTTTTTTTTAATTTCCTCAACGCTAAACTAAATAATGTCATATTTAACAGGTGGAGGGGGTGCCCGGTGGACATATTATTAAAGGAGGAGCATTATCAAATTTCCTTCATTAATAATGTTGGTGGATCTTCTTTTCGTTTTTCGACATTTATAACGAATTGTCCATCAGATCAACCATTTCTTGAATTACATTGAAAGAATGAAACACCTTGAGTGTTGGCTTGATTCAGTAATGAAGGATGAACATTTAAAAGAAACAGACAAACATTAACAGGACACACCAAGCAAGCATTCTGGTGGCATATCTCGAATTCAGAGGTCGAGTGGAGGCTCTAATAGTTGGTCCATAGTAGGAAGGAGAAGAGATTTAGTGCGTGGGTTTGGTACCATCTTCATCCTCATCATCTTCTGTTCTTGCCATCTTAGTTGAAAAATTAAAAAAACATAGTTGGGGGTTGGAACAACTAAACATTGTAAGGTACATGACACAGATGATCTCCCATTACAACCCATTGGTGGTTCCTGAATGCACAAACAAAATAAAAGGGAGATACCAATATATTTTCATGATATTAAAGACATTTAACAGGAAATGATCAGACCATTACTGCTGGAAGGTCAGCCTAAATGACTTTACTATCATCTACACCTTCATCACTCCTCATCCTCCTGCAATATCAAATGAAAGGAATGGTAATCTCAAACAAACATCCACATGAAAACGTCTACTTATACAGCAATCCTTAAACAAACTACCTCCTCGCTGCCATCATCGTCTCCTGCCTCATCGTCACCATTCACCTCAGACGTTGACTTCTCAGACTCATCTCCCTCTGCAGCATTGGCTCCACTAGCCTGAACTCACATGGGAGTGAAAATTGAATTCACACAGTAATATACAGTTGCAATATGAATGCTTCAGAAACTTTTCCAAGAGGATATTAATACCTGTTTCTTGTTATAGGCCTTCATGTTTTTCTCATATTCAACCTTCCTCTTGTCAGCCTTGGCAACGTAAGGTGCTTTTTCCTGATATTATAAACAGCAATCCAGACATAGTTTATAATAATACCAGGTGAGGTTAAGAAACACTACGATGGCAATCACGTACAGCATCAGACATCGATTTCCATTTGTGTCCTGCAGCTTTGCCAACCTGATCGAACCATTTGCAAGTCAATTGTCAACGCACATTACCATAGAATGAATTGCAAAAGTTGAATGGAGACAAATAACCTAAAATACAAAGGGAAATAACTTACAGCAGATACTGCTTTGTTATTCGGATTCTCCTCGCTGAACTTCTTTCTGAACTCTTCCCTTTAATTGTTAAAAAAAAAAAAAAAAAAAAAAAAAAAAAAAAAAAAAAAAAAAAAAAAAAAAAAAAAAGACGACAACAACACGACAGCATAGAGATAAGAAACATAATCGACTCACAGGAACAAAAATACGGCTCAAGTAAAATACACATAAATCAGAGGAATCTTTTCGTTGAAATTCGGGTGTTTTGACACTCGCTAATAAATCCACAAGGTAATTATAATGATTTTGAATATATATTTTGTCACAAACCATAAACAAGTTCATAGTTTTTCCATCCAAGCTCGCATATTACTCAACTCCAAAGCCGTACAAATGAAATAATTTGTAGATAAGCGAGTAATTCAACCATCAAAGTGCAAATTAGAAGTTTTACTTATAAAAAAAAATTACATGAAAACGAAGAAAGCACTGGCCGGCCTCTTGGGTTTGTTAGGATCTTTTCCTGCCTTCTTACTCCCTTTCTTGGCTGCACCTTTCTTCACCGCAAGCCTACAGCAAATGAACAAATAAGCAAAAACGATCGATCAGAACAAAAAGGGTTAACGCCTACTTTAACACAGGTGATATGAACCGATTAAAAGTGGAAAACAAACACATCAGACAGAAAAAACATGGAAGAGACAATAAAAACTCACTTGGCGTGTGGTTTCATCGACTCCGTCTTCGATTTACCGCCTTTCATATCGAATCCTGCAGGAATAAGATCAGATCAGCAACAATTTCGAGATGAAAGAAAGAAAGCACATGAAATTGCATCAGAAATCGAAGGAGATGGATGAAACGTACCGATGGAAGGAGGTTAGGTTAGGTATAGGGTTTGAAAAGGGAGGATGAAGCGAAGCTGCGCGTGAGAGAGAAGCAAAGAAGCGGTACGAGGCGAGGAGGAGAGGGATAATTCAGTCCTTGAGGGACAGGAGGGCAAATTGAAATTCAATTGCGCACGAAATGAAACCAAGCAGGAATTTCGGCGGGATTTTTCATTTATTGCCAACTCAATAATCCGCGCACTCTTATGCCATTGGTGCACGTCGTCAAGATCCCTACTGCTCATATTCGTGGGCGGGGCGAGGGGCAAGTGTAGAGCATCTCTGAAAGCCCGTTTTTCCAATGTTGGGCCTCAAAAGAAGCTCGAATCAATCAAGCCCAGAGTGAAACACACTATAATGATGTGGGCCAGAAAATTACAAAAAAGCCCATATCCATAGAAAGGGCCCATTTGCGGTGCCTTCGTGCTCCAGCGTTTCTATTCCTTTGCACGCACGTTATACTGTCATGCGATTCGCACGTGCCTAGAAATCCCTGCATCGTCCGCCGTGAAAACTGAAATCGATTAACTCCCTGCGTTGGGTCCCTCCGAAAAAGGGAAGAACAATGGGCGAGGTTTCCAAATCGACGATGAAGAAGAGAAAGAAAAAGGGCCGTCCTTCTCTCTTAGATCTCCAAAAACGGTTCCTCAAACAGCAGAAGTTGCAGGAACAGCATCAACAACCGCTTAACGCTTTCGACTTGGCCTCCAACCCTAAGAGTCCTTCAACTTGCCAGAATCGTAATGCTCACCCCGCGACAGAGCGCGTCACCGGCGACGACGACGACGATGACGACGAGCGCATTGAGAAGAAGCACAAACCTTTACTTGGTTTAACTTCTCGCCAAAACTATCCAACATTGTCCGCTTATTCTTTACGTAAATCATCCCCCTACGACGAAGATTCCGAGTCGGCACTCAAACGTCGCAGAATCGTTGCAGCCCAGTTTGGATCTTCAGAAGTGGTGATGAACTGAATCTATTCGCTCGTCAAAAAATATTTTCAAGCATTGGCGAAAAGGAAATTGTTTCTTCTTCTTCTTCTTCCTTTTTTTTTTTTTTTTTTTTTTTTTACCAACCAGTTTGAAAAAAGGAAGAAAACCCCTTGCGGCAATGATTTATAAAATCAATCAGTTTTGTTTCTTTCCCTTTTTCTCGATAAAATCAAATCGTTGTATTATCCAAACGAGATTCAATGATTTGTGAAGTTTCGCGCGTAAATTGAAGATTCTGGCAAACTTTCTGTCAGATCGGAAGTTTGTGGGATGTGTTTTACTCTGTTAAGTTTCTATCTTTTTTTTTTTTTTTTTTTTTTTTTTTTTTTTTTTTTTTTTTTTTTTTTTTGAATTTGGGAGGATGGTAGTTTTAGATATATATTACTTAATGGAATTCTCCTTTCTATAATTGATAATTAATTAATTGGATAAATAAAGCATTACAGTATCAACTTGAAAAGAATGAATTTGTCTTTTATATAGCTATTATGATTTTTGTATTCATGTATCTCAAGGCTGCATCTGGAAGGGCTTTGCTGCAACTTTGTAGAGAGTTAAATAGAAATGCATTCCCACACTCCAAAGCTCTAATCTTGTTTGATTACTTTAATTTGCAGAGTGAAAAAACATGGAAAGCGACAGACACTGCGAATAATGGTATCTAATTCTCTAACTAAATGTTGATGATGGATGTTGTTGTTGTTGTTGTGAACTTTATTTGGTGATACTATTTATAATGATGTGAGTAGGGTCGCAGGTGGAGTCTGGTCCCACGACAAGTTTGCCAGACAAAAAGTTGTTGATTTTCATCCTCGATAGGCTTCAAAAGTGCGACTGTTCATTTGTTTCTTATCGTTTTCCCTCATTATTGTTTCCCATTTAATAATCGTTTTGAGTAGTGCTCCCTGTTTCCTTCCAGAAAAGACACCCATGGAGTCTTTTCCCAACCCGTCGATCAAAACGAGGTTCTTTTTTTTTTCCTCTTCTTTTTTTTATTCCGCAGTTTTTAGATTTACAGCTCTAAACTTGATTCATTTCATTTTTGCTGCAGCTTCCCGATTACCATGTCCTTATTGAGAATCCTATGGATTTTGGGACTGTGAGGGCCAAATTAGATGGGGGAGCTTACGCAAATTTGGAACAGTTTGAGGTTGTAACCCAGACTTGTTTTTTGACTTGTAGATTGTGCCATTCTGATTGCCCATGTCTCTGTCTTCTAATTATTATGATAGTTGGGTTGTGGAACTCTTCTACCTACCTCCACCACATCCATGTCAATGAAC